TTTTTTTGCCAATAAAGTTTTGTCAATTTGTCTAACATCAATCATATATATATAACATCATTTTATTCCCAATGAGAAAGTATTGATTTCTCAATCTATATAGGTTAACTAATATTATTTCATGGGTCCATCAAAATTGGCATTAAATAAAATACTTTGATTGGATGGATCACATGAACCTCCAAATTGAATAAACCGGGCCAAATTGGATAAACCGGCCCACGAATATCAAATTCGTATCTTGTTTAGATGGATTTTAGCAACACGTAGCAACAAAATAGACGGTGCTACTCTTTATACACAGATTTCGTGGCCCCTTTGCATGGATTTTGAGCCAAATAGATGTGTCCAAATTATTATTACGTACTATCATAATAAAATTTATTTATGATAAAATTACAAACTTTCATTTTTAACTAAATTGCATAATTTACAAGTGATATAGTATGGTCCTCAGCTCGGGTCCTAAACCGGAGCTCTCCCGACTCGACCCAAGTCGTGTGCGGTTTATAGCAGTCGACCATGTTAAGTAAGTTTCCGCAGAGGCGTTGGGTCGAGTAATCGACCTTACGACCTACTTGACTGAAGAACTGGTTAATCGAGCTAGCATGACGAGTTAAACTACTCACACGACCGACTTGGAATAGATAAGACCCTCTTGACAAATAATGAGATAAGATATCTTGAAAAAATATAATGATTTTATAATTAAATCATATTTATGTAGAAATATTGATATATTTGGCCTACTTTATAATTAAATCATATCAATTAAATTATACTAATAAATAGAGAAACATAATAAATAAATAAAATCCCCATACAAATGAAAACTTTACATGTAAATAATTTTGTATATATATATACAAGTTGGTGATAGAGATATTTGGCCTACTTCATTCACCCCATTTGTGTTCCATACCCAACCTAGGTTCATGTGAAGCTATAAATAAAATACCATAAAAATTGATAGCCCACTAAAAATAATATTATATATATACACACACACACACCTGCAAATTAATTTACAAATGTATTATTTTAATTGTTACATGTTATTTTGAATCATTAGACCTAAAAACCTACATGGAGACAAGAGTCGTTGGTTCTTTAGTCACAGTCCATTGACTATGCTTAATTAAATATTGTGTAAAGATTGCTGTACATAATGTCTTAATCTAAGTAGCATAGTTTTTTTTTTTTACCCAGATCGACTTGGGTGGGATATTTGGACCGGGTAACAAAGGACTCTGTCAAACTCAGAAAACCCGGCCGACCCCGGTGCATTGACCCCGGCTGGGTCAATACCTGACGGTTGAACCAGTGACTCGATAATCCGGAGACTGATTATTTGGCCATGTGCAGAACCATGTGTATATATACATTTATTATAACACATGTGATTTAGCGTTCTTAAAGACGGCTGCAAACCTGCAAGTTGATCAGGTGGACAAGTAAGGAATATTCAATGGAATAATAAAACTTTTCTTTAACATCAATTGATTAACTTGCTTTCATATTAGCCTTGTACAAAATCTTTACTTAGGGTGATAAAATTATTACTATATTTTACAAGTTTTTTTTTTAATATGAATACTTTTAATAAAAAAACGTAAATAAATATTATTGAAATATTATAATTTTAAATATTAAGTTTTTTTTGTTGTATGACGGTTCGATTTGACAGTATGCATATATGATGAAAAAGTATAATTTTTCTAGTTATTACTTTTCATGAAGAAAAAATAAAAAAGCGTAAATTAACAACAAAACTGTTAATTATTAGTATTTATAGAAAATGTACTAAAGAGTCATTATTTCGGATCCATGGTGCAGTGTATATTGATTTTTTATGTATAAATAAATTTGGAGTTATTGGGTAAAGTCAGACGAAAAGGAGAGCTTTGCCGCCTTTGTGGTCCTACTCGACTCGATTCTAGATTACTCGGTTCCTCTATATATCCAAAAACTGGAAGATCCTTGTACTTAAAAAAAATCAGACAAAAAATAATGGTTGTGGACCAATGTATAATATATAATATTGTGGACCAATGTATAATATATATAGTATTCGTTGAGACAAGAGTGGTGATGGGCCTATTTGTAATTAAAAAAAAATACATATATTTAGAGTTCAACATTAAACTGTTTAAAAATAAAAATACTACAAACCAATTGTTTAATTTTATATGTATATAACATTGATCAATAAAAGTAAATATTTTTATATTATCATATCTGCCATGCGTGACAACTTTTGACCACATTATATTTTTTTTTATAACAAAAAAAGGTTTTGTTAACGAAAAACTTTGACAGCTCCGATGTAAAATAGAAGAATTCACTTGAAATTTTAAAATAAATGATCTTAATTATAAGCTGGAGTACATAACTTTCAACGTAAATTCTTATGTAAAGCATCTAATTTATGTATCTGTCTGTCTAACAATAATTTTAATGAATTTTTCAGTAATTGATTCCAGATTCAAAACAAGAACCAGAGATAATAGTTTCAACGAGACAAATTCTTATGTAAAACGGTCTAATAATAAAATTGACTAACAATAATAATTTTAGGCCTCATGATTTACTTTGCTTGATAGGATTAAACAAAATAATCAAACTACTCAACACGTCAGCAAGTTGTCAAACGTTTACTTCACGAGATAAAAAAACAGGACAAAAATAAGCATCGTAAAAAACGGGATAAAAAAATCCGACCTCTCCCCCTAAGATTTATTATATCAGTGAATGAAGGATACATTGTGGGACCCGCATGCCACGTTCGTGTCAACTAAAAAAGAATCATATCCCAATCATTTAAAATAAACAAATAATATGGTGTGACAAATTTAATTATCCAATCTCGTCCAGAGATGTAAACGATCCCTATATGAACTTTCAGTATATATGATTCAAGACTCAAAACAAGAATGAAATAATAATGCCCATTTTAATTTATGAAGTTCGAAAAGAAGAATGTATTATATAATAAGTTTTTATTTTATATTATTATTTTTATTATTATTATTATTATTTGACTCAAAAATGGTGAGAATTTTTACTTGAGCCGGCGGCAACAATGGTGAGCACCATCTAGTCAGACTTTTGTCATTATCT